ATGTGGTGCTGAGGATCAAACCCAGTGCCTCACATATATGGCAGAAATGTTCTACCACTGAGCCACAAAACCAGCCCCACTTGAATTCTTGAATGGTCCAAATCTGAGCTGGAGGCTCTGAACATAACCACATTTATCACTACTCATCATTTCTTATAACTAGTTTTGGCTATCTATACCCGAGCTGTTGATAGTCTCATGATAACTTACAGGCTTGTCTGTACAGAACCCACCAACGGAAGAAAATTTCTGATTCCACACAAGTCACAGTGAGCAGCAGTCCCCAAATCAGCTTCCTGTTCTGAGGCCTGGATGATAGTATCTGCAGCAGTTGACAGTAGAAGAGAGTTGCCATAGGACAGTCATTGAGGAAGAAACAACATAGAATTTAGAAGAAACATTTCAGAGCACAGAAAAAAGAAAAGGGGATCTTAAAAAGTGCTAAATTCTGTCAAAGAAGAATGCAAAGTTGTAGCCTGGACAATTTGGCTCTGTACAGAAAAATATGAAAATTTTCTATAGCATTTCTAGTAAGATATACAGGTTTTAGGGACAGGATCCTTGCAAAGGATGCAACAGAATTTCCCCATAACATATTTACACCCCATCAACATAACTGACCTCTGCCAGGAGAAGTGTAAAAAGGGATATTGAAAACATTCTGGAGGTAAAACTGTTAAAATACTAATTCAGATTTTAAAATAATAAAACCCAAGAATCTAAATGTGAAGTTAAATATTTTTTATCATTTAAAATATTTGAAAGACCTCTTATTCCAGAAAAAAGAAAATAAAAATTTTACTAATTTCATTGGAATAACAATCAATACAGAATATCTCTTTTCTCAGGGTAACCTAAAAATATTAGTGTAATTGGGTTTCAAAGTATTAGAGCTGAGAGGATGAGCTATTTCTGTGAAACATCTGTTGCCAGGGATAACAACGGAAAATAAGAAAGATTTTAGATTTTGGACGTCCCAGAATCAGGAGAAGATTATAAATAGAAACATGCTAAGAGAAATTAAAAAGCATGCCCCCTTTTTAAATGGAAAAGGGAATATAATTGAAGGACAAATTCCAGGAGGTAGAGATGATAGAAAGAGGAAAGATGACTAAGAGAGTCCTCCAGGAAAGTTGAGATCTTATACTGTCATTGGAAAATGTTGAGTGCCTTTGCTTTTTTTAAGTGTGTCTTCTAATAACAAAAAACAAAGTATATACTTCAGAAGTTTGTTCTATCCTAAGAACTTAGCACTGTTTTATGTGGTACAAAACAGAAGGGGAAGGAGAACACTACTGGAAAACCTGGAGAGAGAAAGCAAACATATTTAGAGAAAAAGAGACTGAGGGCAAGAATTTTAACCAAGGACATGATTCTAAAACACAGCATTCCTAGAAGCTTAGCAGGGAAAAAAAAAAAAAAACCATAGCCAAGGGCAGAATGTCTTGTCACCTTCTGACTACTAGGTTTAAATCAGAGGATCTTCTCTGCTTTCACATTTTCCCACATGACTCCAGGTAGAACCATCCATCATTAATCTCCCATTTGAAAATGTTGCTATTGCTAATACTACACACAACTTCGTGTTTTAAATGGCTTTATATTAATTTTCATTTATACTGTATTAGGCAGTCTCAATGTTTCCATGTCTGGGTCACAAAACCTAATGAATAAATTATTACACATAATATGGTTGGATTCAGATTTATTCTATTTTTTGGAACATCATTTATTTAATTAGGTGACCAAATTAATGCAAACACACACAGAAAAAACAGCAACAAATGAATGAATTAATAAATATTTATTTTCTTACCAGGAGGATTTAATCCAAATCAGGAGAAGGAAGACATACTTAGACCCATGATAGAGGCTGTATTCATTCTGTCTGTGGGTTATTTTGCATATTCTGTAGAAACAGGAAGAGATACATTCATATACTCTTATGCTGAACTATAACAGGCAAATCTGTTCTATTTTTTTCTGGGCTTCCTTTCCCAATTTACAGAATAAGAAATTAGAGAAATAATCCCGAATAGAACCTACCAGGCAGTTATTTCAAAATTCATAGAAGTAAAGTTGCCCAGGAGGCTGATTTTAGGGCCAACTTGAACTGCTGGCATGGGACCAGCAGCTATGAAGAAGGAGGACTGAGAGCCTGAAGTCAGACTCCAAGGCAGTGCCAGAGCTGACAAGGACTGTTATGGCTGTCATCATGCAAATCTCACCCTGTAGGGCCACACCCTAGTCTTGGCCAATGAGCTCATTAGGGCAGGGAATGTAGGAGTCAAGGCTGGGCATAAAGGACAGAGCAGGGCCAGCTGCTGCTTACACTTGCTTCTGACACACTTGTGTTTGCTAGCAACCCTCCAAAAAGACACAATGGTGCATCTGAGTGATGGGGAGAAGAATGCCATTAGTACCGTCTGGGGCAAGGTGGATGTAGATGCAGTTGGTGCTGAGGCCCTGGGCAGGTGAGTGTCCATGTCACGAGGCAGCTTGGGGTAAGAAGGGGATTGGAAGCTGAGCATGTGGAGATAGACATCTCTGACAGGCACTGACTTTCTCTGTGACCTGGCTCTTTTCACCCCCTCAGGCTGCTGATTGTCTACCCATGGACCCAGAGGTTCTTTGATTCCTTTGGGGACTTGTCCTCTGCATCTGCTGTTATGGGCAATGCTAAAGTGAAGGCTCATGGCAAGAAGGTGATTGATTCCTTTAGTAATGGCCTGAAACACCTCGACAACCTCAAGGGCACCTTTGCAAGTCTCAGTGAGCTGCACTGTGACAAGCTGCATGTGGATCCTGAGAACTTCAGGGTGAGTCTAGGACATCCCTCAATGTGATCCTTCCTTTTCCTTCCTAAGGATAAGTTCATAGCAGGAGGCAAAGGCATCAGTATGTTTGGGACAGTTGATCTTTTATTGTCCATTGACACTAATTGTTTCCTCTCATTTCATTTTCATTTCCAGTTTTTGTTTTCTTCAATATATGCTCTGTCTTCTTCCATTAAACTTTCTAGATTGTATTTGTAAATTAAACATCTTTCATCTTTTAATTTCATTTAAAAATTTTACCTACTTTAAAATGCAGTTGTGATCTGTCTTTCAAGCAAGGAAAATAAGCTTTGTCGTGTTTCTTTGTACAGTTTTAAAGAACAACAGTGAAAAATTTATCTTCTGGGTTAGGGAGATAGGGAAGAAAACTTATGCTTATAAATTCTGACAGATACATGAGAATTCATATCTGTAGCAGAAGCTAAGTC